CGGGGAAGCAACCAACCGAGCGCGTTGCAACAGACGAAACCTAGACTGCAACGCACGTGCCGCCTGTATCCAAATAGAATCATCAGAGGTTTGGGTAAATTGAGTCACAAGCAAGCAGCAACACTCACAGGACTCAGGGTCGAAAGTATCACCGACCCAACAGGCAGCGTGGCAGAGGCAAAAACAATGAGGGTCACCCTGAGACAAGGGGACCGAGCAACCCTCAAACTCGCACACAGCGAGTGGGGACTCCGGGATCACATCCATCGGACCCACGCGCCCCCTAGGGGATTCCCAGGGTCCTGAGCATTTACTTTAAGAGGACTCGCGCTCAGGTAGTCCCAGGCAGGGTGCTGCAAACCGGCGCCCAAAACTACCAAGCAAACTTCTAAAGCTGAACCCCAGGGACGTGTACACTCACGGGGGCCTAGCAGGGGGCGCCACCGAGGAGAACAGTGGAAGGGCAAAAACAAACAATAAAATGACAGAACCCCCCACCAGGCAAAAACAAAAAGAAAAACAAAACCCCGCAAGAGGACAGCGAACCCCAAGGAACAGAGCCGGCCGCGATGTCGGGAAATACAAGCTGAGCAGCACCCTGCGCCCCTACCAGTGCAAACTGCCTCTTACCTGCCGGTAACAAGGGAGAACAGAACACCCAAGAGCCCAACAGGCGGCCAAAAAACTGAAAGGTAAAACGGACCAGCAGAGGCAGACCCCGAGGAGCCTGTGGAAGGTGGCCCCAAGCCCCAAGGGCAGTACTTACAGGGCACCTAGGGAAGGCAGCCCTAGGCGCATGCAGCCCGAGTACTGAAGATAACTCCTGGCTCTCGCACCCACAAAACTAACACCACACGCAAAGCACAGTGCAGTAGCGACACCGGAGCCAGAGCACACGACCATCGCCTATAGCATCAGCCTCAAGAACTGAGGTGTGGGTAGCCAGCGCGGGGGGTCTGGGGCTCCCCCTTCCCCCTCCCTGGGAGGGGGGAGCTGCGCAGACAGCGGCGCGGCAGTGTGTGACGTCACACTAGTTTGCTTGTTTTCGGTTGGGGAGTTCTATCCACTAGTTCGGTTTTTGGTAGCAATTTTAACCAGAATAGGGGTTTGTTTTGGGGCGCTTACCTTTCTGGGTGCCTGTTCCGGTCGATGGCAGACATAGAATGCTTCCAACTACACGGGGGCTTCTATAGGCCATTGCTCCCCTTGCCTCTCTGAGGGGGCCCGGTTCTGGCCGTGGTCCCCGGTAGGCCTAAGAACTCCATACACATGACTGATGCCAAAGTCTGACATTAGCCTATCAGCCTGGGATAGCTCCGGGGAGCCGACGGGGCTCCCCCCAGAAAAATAATTAAAACTAAATGGGTAGAACACCTGGAGGAAAACGATATAATATCAGACAGACAGTATGGTACTAAGTGGCTCCCAGAACTGAAGGACAAGAGCTACAAGGAGAGGATAGAGGCATTAAATATGCAAAAACTAGAAGATAGAAGAAAAAGAGGCGATGTGATCACTACGTTTAAAATAGTAACAGGAATCGATAAAATTGAAACGGAAGAATTCCTGAGACCCGGAACTTCGAGAACAAGAGGTCATAGATTTAAACTAATGAAACAAAGCTGCCGGAGAAATATACAAAAATTCACTTTTGTAAACAGTGGTAGACAGTTGGAACAAGTTAACACTTTCGCGCATTTGATGATTTCTAGGGTCGTCACCATATTTTCTTACGTTTCCGCATAACAGACTACGCGTGTAGTCCGGCGAAAAAAATTTGTATAAATTCCATTTATTATCCGATCAACTTCGGAATAGTTTACAAATGTTTGCCATGAAATTTACGTTTTTTCTAATAGCCGAACAGCTTATTAAAGAGAACGGCGTGGCAGTGAATCATCGTGGTAAAACAATTGTATTATTGACACGACGAGTATAATCGACGTAGTTTATATATATGTTGCCGGTCGAACGCATCCTTATGTGACCTTTAATACTTATGTTCTTATAGAACATTCTATTGCGAACACATTGGAAAAAAATGAAATACATACATCGAAAAATAATGTCAGGACAGTGAATTGAATATACACTTTTCAAAGCGAGTTTCGCCGATATGACGCCGCGGGTAACACTTCGGCCACTTCCCACACTGTTTTGGGTGGGCTACGTCATTGAATCTATATTTATATGCATATGCCCGTGTAGAGAATTTTATTGTGATTCCAATGATACCACAATTAGCGATGTAGGACAACTGTAGGCTTCGCAACCATTAAGAGAGTGGAAACATTTTGTTGCTGTTTGGCGCTCTCGGCGAGTGATCTGAATAGTTTTTTATTTGGTGTTGATAGTCCTTATGCTTTGGCGGCATTTTATAGGTATGTTCTTATAGACAATTTTATTGCGAACACAGTGATACCAAATTTAAATACGTGCGCCTTCAATTATTGTCAGGACAGTCAAAAGAGTGTACACTTTTTCGGTCTTACCGCGTAGGCGCGCGAAACGCCGAAAGCACATACAGTAAGTTTTTTTCAGAACGCAGTGTGCGCGAAAGTGTTAAGTGAGAAGGTGGTGGAGGCCAAAATCGTCAGAAATTTCAAAGCATTATATGGCAAAGAGTGCTGGGAAGACGGGAAACCATGAGCATAGCTCTCATCCTGTAACTACACTTAGGTAATTACACTTACGTAATTACTTACTCTATTACTAGTTCCTAAATCCACATTCCCGTATTATAATATATAATGCCAGTATATTATCACCAAGGGATGTCCCATACACTGGTAGGCCTCGTGGCTGTGGTGTAAACACTGCGTGATGCCTCCTACTCCCACAAATTTACATTTCTATTTTTTTCTGTGTAGTTCTCCGACACTTTCCACACGTTCCACTTTCCACACACTGTTATGCGTTCTACTTCACTGTTCAACGTATCACTGCTCGCTATATGTGATGTATATCGCCTATATGCATGTACCCATGTGGCTGGTGGCACTGCTCTCATGTTGACTATGTTTATTCTCGACTACGACCAGAATATTCCAACACCTTTCTTCGAGAATATATGTCCCGAGACAGGTTTCAGATACTCCTCAGGTGTCTTCATTTTGCAAGTAATGAGGACTGGACAGAGGATGATAGACTTTGCCGAGTCAGGCACTATATGAACCAAGGGATTGGTAAGTTCAGAGAATTTTACGTACCAGCACAGAACTTGGTGATTGACAAATCCCTTGTGCTTTTAAAGGATGTGTTGCCTTCAAGCAGTATATTCCCTCCAAACAAAACAGATTTGGATTGAAATTCTTTGTTCTTTGTGACTGTGAAACAGGATACGTGTTACACATGATTCTGTATTCTGCTAGCGATGTAGACATTCCCAGTAACGACCAACATGTTTTCTCAGGTAGTGTGGTGAAGTCACTGATGGCATCATGAATGAACAAGGGCCACATTTTATACACGGATAACTACTAAACAATTCCCTTGCTAGCTAGGTTCTTGATTGAAAACAGAACCAGATTGGTTAGCACAGTAAAGCCAGGAAGAAGGGAAATGCCAGTGTTTGACAATAAACTTGAAGTTGGTGACTGCCAGCTAAGAAAATATGATCAAATACTCTCAGTTAGATGGCAAGACAGGAGAGAAGTGAATATGCTGACAACCGTTCATGATGGTACAATGGTGAACAGTGGCAAGGTGAACCAAGTTACGCAAGAACCAGTATATAAGCCAGATTGTTCTTGACTATAATATCAACATGCATTTGGTTGATAAATCTGACATGATGGTGGGCACTGTCGAGTGTGTGCGGAAAACATTGAAGTGGAGGAAAAAGTGTTTTTCCATCTTGTTGACATAAGCATACTGAACAGCTACAATATATATCTGGTGAGAACTGGACATAAACCAAGTTTCGATTTGTTTGCTTTTACACTTGGGACACAGTTATTAGCAAAGTTTGGCAAAGATGTTCCTGGCATACAAAGACTCATCATGAACCTAGTGTTGCAGCATTTTGCTACACCTAGGCTCACTTACATGGAGGCCTTTCAACACACAGACTAAAACATTTGCCAATAGCTGGAAAGCGTGCAATAGGCCAACGTGATTGCTTAGTTTGTAAAACAACAAAAACGAGAGATCAGAAACGTAAACTGGTGATAGACTTTAAAGAGTGTGCAGTCCCTTTGTGTGCTGTCGACTGCTTCAACGACTACCACTCTCTCTCCAAGACTTCTAAATGTGCAATAATAGTGCAAAAACCTGTAAATAGTGCATGCATGTGTGTAAATATAATAATGAACAATGTGAATACATATTATATTGGCATAATGGAAAACATTTGTGTGCACTTGTGTATACTTGATGTATGCAACATTTATTGCCATTAACCATGATGTAACATTATATGCAACACAATTAGTGAATAATATTAGTGATAAAATACGCCTAGACATTGTAAATAATGCTGCAAAAATAAATTCGTGGCAACTATGGCTGCTTGAAGACCGTGCGCGACGCCTCTGGGACGCACCTTGCATGAGCGAACATGGAGGTTGTGACGTCATCGCCCATATTGTCGGCTCAATTACGTCATTGATAAGTACAATTAAATTTTTTTTCTCGTGGTCAGGGAACACAAATAAACATGTTAGGAAGATTTTTTTTTTTTTTTTTGGTTATGCGCCTGTGGGTGACAAAGGCTAATTAGCCCTTAGCAACAGAAGGGTTAATTGAGGCACCACTGAACATCCCTCTGCCACAAACAGCAAATCATTATATATAATATGTAATGGACCAAAATGTAATAAAGCAATGTTTCAAATAAAAAATGAAGTGGGAAGTGTTGTGGAATGAGAAAAAAAAACACTTAAAGATAATATACATCCATTATTCTAAAGGATTCTGCATTCATGACAACTTGGCTGAAATAATTCAAAACAACAAAAACAAAGTTCAACAGCATTCAAACAAAACAGTAGATGACAAACCTTATAACGTCAAGGTTATACTTGAAGACATCTGCCCTGTTGTGTGGTGTGTTGACACACAGGAAGCGCAACACACGAGCTACCATGTTCTTTCCCATTACACTGTCTTGAGGCACTGCCCTTTGACCCCATCCCATCAGCATTACCATCTGTTATGAATAAGGCAAATACAAAAAATATAAGGGATCAATCTGTTGAGAATTCAAGGTAAATGACTTGAGTACCTGATAATTAAATACTGTAATGGTAAGAGCAAGATTTGAACTAGTATGGCAGCTTAAAATAGTGAATACTTTTTTTAGAATGGGTAACATATTAATATTTACACTATCAAATAAAATTTAACAGTTCACATTAGTGGCAGCTTTATGCAACTGTGAAATCCATGGCTGCCATCATCTGATTAAAACTACCTTCCACCCACATTGCCACCCAGAAACCCCACATCTCCACCATTACCAATTGAATGATGGTTGGCCTTATATGGATTGTTTGTGGCTCTTCCAATCTGTGCATGTAGTTTTACTTCGACAGCGTGAGCCAATGGATAGCAAAGTGATGCTCATTTTGAGCAGATTTTCACATTTGAGTTTAGCTTCCATGATAAGTGCAACAGATTTTGTTATCTCTGCTGTACACTGTGGATAATGTATCAACATCAAAGCAAATTTGAGCATTCTCTGGAACACCCTACACTCAGTTGATGTAACAGTATTCACCCATCCATAATACTACTACTAACTTCCCAAGACATTTGGGCAGTCAGATTTTTTTATAATACGTAATCACATAATAATCCAGCTGACATGTGTTGGCAGAGAACTCTTCTGTGTTGATTGTTGTATCTGTCAATCAACTGAATACTTCAAGTAGGCAGGAAGGAGGTTTATTCTCTAACACTTGACTGGTTAATTAACACTTTCACTCTCCAATGATGCCTATTAGTGTCATAAGTTTTTCTCCTTAATGTAATCTGATGACTATCACGTGCGTCATCCATTAAAATATTTGTAAAAAATTAAATTTTCATCTGATCAACTTCTAGATGGTTTTAAAATGAGCGCCATTATCTTCCCACTTTCCTCCACATGCCGCATGGCATTCTGGGTGGTGAGGCCATGCGGTAGGCATGTGTTTTGTTCATCATGCTCGTGACCGGAGCGCCACTGGCTCCCGTCCCAAACTTGTGCAAATCTTGGTTATTATCAGCATTTATATTGGTTTGCGTGTCTTTCACACACATTATATACGTTACACGATGGATCAGGGTCCAGGGCAGAGCAGTTCCACGCCGAAAACAGCGAAGAAATCAACCATATGAATAAGAGGATAGAATAAGTATGTTCTACAAGAAATTTCATAACATTCGGCTTATACCAACAAAAACCCCTGGTTTGATTCAAGAATTATCCAGTATTGATACAGATGTTGAGGGGGAAGAACAGGACACTGATTTCCACAGTGATTCATCAGATGTAGACACGGCAGATGATGGCGAGTCAATGGTTGAGGAGAGTGAGGATTCTGAGAAGCGAAGAGGCGAGAAGCGAAGAACAGACACCGCCTCCCTCAGTAACGGCGCATACAACTTCACCAAAGCAGCCGGCGCCTGAGCTGAAGAAGCAAGCACACCGGACCCTGGCCTGGAACCCAGCTCCTCCACACCCAGCACAAGACAGTCCGAAGACAGCTCCAGCAGGGAAAAGAAGCGCAAGACCGAAGCCAAGTGCCCACGAGCGCACAAATTGCCCGTGGGGAAGGGAGGGAATGTGCACGTGAAGCCGCACCTGGCCGACATCATAAGGAAGGCCAGGGGCGACCAAGCATGCCTTGAGGTGCTCCAACTCACCCCCCAGGAAAACCTGAATGATCATAGGCAACTTTGGCCATTCAAGTGTGCATTCCAACAGGATGAATGCCAAGCCCCCAAAGAAGAAAAGGCAGTCTGCCAGACAGGAAGACACCGGCACCTCGTAATGCACCCAATAAAGAAAAAGAGGAGCCAAACTCCAAAAGAAGGCTTCATTATCGAGGCGTAATCCGGGTTTCGCAGGAGGTAAGCCGCATGGGGCCTCCCATACCTTCCTCGGTGGGATGCGGGAAGCCAAAAACCTCCAGGAGGAGGGAACCAAAGAACCCAAGGGAACATGGACCCAAACCCGGGGAAGAGTCGAACTCATAACAAAATCGTACAGGGAGGGGAAAGGAAAACCCCTCCCCCTATAACAACAAGCCCTGCACCAAGGGTACCAAACACCCCAAGCATTGACAAGTGGGACTCAGGGCCCCCCAAGTCAACTCCTCCCCAGCCCCAGAATCCTCCACGTCAAGACCCAGGGCCAAGCTGTCCTCCAAACCCTCTGCCTTTGGAGAAAGAGCAGAGTCCACCGGAAAAGCAGTGATGAAGGGGGCTCGCTGGCATAGCCCAAAAGCTCTGGCAAGAGGACCAGGCTCTAATGCTTCCGCCGCCGATCTGGAAGGGGCAATCCCTGAAGCCACCGAGACTAACTACCAGTATAATTCAGCGGGGCAGCTGCGGGGCATCCGGAAAGGCAACCAACCTCGCATGTTGCTGCAACTTAAACCTTGCATGCAACGCTAAAGCTGCTTGCACCCAAATATGTCTTAGTGGACTGGGTGAATGGATTACAAGTAAAAACCCAGTATAGAATGTAATGAAACGCCATTTTCTGGCTGAGCCCCGGAGGCTCCCTGGAGCTTATCGGGATAATGTATGTTATATTAGACCGGGACATTAGCTAAGGAGTTCAGACCTACCAGGGACCAGCACCAGAACCTGGCCCCTTCAGAGAGGTTTCAGGGAGCATTGGCACTGGAAAACCCTCTTGTGGTTGGGGTTTTCCTTATCTGCCATCGACCGGGGTCAGGCACCCAGAAAGGTAGGCATGACAAAACAAACCCCACATGGTAAAAACTAAAACAAAAAAACGAACAGAGAGGTAGAAACTCCCTATAATCCCAAGGAAACAAGGAAACAAGCAAACATCACACTTTACTGGCGATGGTCGAGACCAGCCGTCTCGACCATCACCAGGACGGAGAAAGGCTGCACATGTACAAATCTACCACCAGTACCAAAGAGCAGAAACTTGAACCGAAGGGGCTACCACAAACTGAGGAGAAGATAAGAAGGCACCCTGATCAAGGACCAGGACAGCGCAGGCGACGCATGAGCAGGTCGGAGGTGAAACAAAACTCGAGAAAGAGTACAAAACGGGACAGATGTGACGTGTACCCCGAACGCAAGCCGGAGCGGCACCGCCAGCGCCGCATAAAACAAGGCATCAGTAAGAAAACATCAAATAACTGTAGTCCAGAAAACCCAAGAAAGGACAAGACAACCCGATGCGAAAGAGAAGACAACGTACAAAGAGCAAGAAAAAGTGCATAGAAACACCAAGAACGTCATACTGTCGCCAAGACGAAGCCTGCAGGTGGGACACCGTCAACAAGGCCACCTCAACACCACAGAGATGGTGATACCTGCGTCAAAATACCAGATGCAAAGAGCCGAGGAGAAGGCCGAACCAGTCACGTACAGGACCGATCTGACCTGCCGAAAAAGGCGGAGCCGCGGGAAAGTGCCCCGGGTTCAGACACCTTTCAAGCAGTGTCTGAAAAGAAGCTGGGCCGGCCACTAAGGAACCATAAGGACTGCTCTCGTGGGAATGGGCTGCAACCAAGCCAGAACCCGAAGCAACAGTTGGACCGGGAGAAGAGGAACAGGTACCCCCACCTCGACCAGTCCTGCCGAAAAGCATCCAATGTGAACGCCTCACAGGTGGGTAAGGGCGCCACATAAAATGGGCGATGCCTAGACCACGCCGACTCGAAGAACGTCCATGGCCAGGAGTCCATACGTCCGGCAGAGCCAACGAAACGAGTCGGCGACGAATGGCCAATCCGCGAACAGAGGAATGAACCGAGACAGGCTGTCCGCCAGGACGCAGGACACACCCCGTACATGAACCTCACGGTTAGCCAAACCCCGAGAATCCAGCAAACGAGCCACTCCAAGGAACCAACCCCAAAGGTCAGCACCTAAGAGAAACCCTGTGGTTCCGGCAAGAACCGCCAGAGAAGAGTCCGAAAGGAGATGAATGGTAGAGCACCGAGTGACCCAAACCATCTGAAGCGCAAACCAGACAGCCACGAACTCCCGAACCGTGCTGTGAGCCCGACAGATGGACAGACTCCACCATTCCCGGCTGACCTGGTGAGCACTGGTCACAAAAGCCCCAGCCGAGAGATGACCCGTCTGTGAACACATCGAGCAAAGGTTCAGGGAGGTGCCAAGGCATGGAACCCCGAAAACCCAAAAGAGGAAGCTGGTGACGCAGCACCAACACAAGATCCTCGGAGGAACGAACCCAACGATTGCAAGAGGCGGAAGGGGAGTCTCCGAAGGAACCAAACAGATGCCGAAGTCAAACCTGACCCCGCGGGCAGACCAGCACGTCAAAGTTCAGACTCCCGCACAACAGCTCGAGCAACCCGGGACCCCCTCATGCACAGCCGAAGGCAGGACCACAGCCGCAGTAACACTTCAGGAGGGAAAGACAAGGAGTGGCCCAATAGCCCTAAACAAGGTCCAGGTCCGAACCCGGGACAGAAACAGATGGAATGGCCTCCAGATCACCAGGAAACCAAACCCGGCGATCTGGAAAGAACCACACCCCTGGCGAGCAGACAAGCGGACCAACTGGGAGCCCACACCAGCCAGTCGTCGAGGTAGGCCAGACACCGAATCTCAAGCAGACTCAGACAGAGCACCAAGATCCTGTAAAGATGCAAAAATACACCAAGTGCCAATAACTGACCTGGAGGTCCAGGGCCACCATCCAGGCACCCGGCCTCAACAGAAGCCGGACAGGAGACAACAGTCCTCCTAGGAGGACATAGAAGCCAGGGCACAGACTGAAGAAGTCCAGAAGAACCGCAGATTCGAAGGCCCATGTCTGCAAAGAGCAGACGGGAACCCCAGAAGGATGGGGCGGATCGACCACGCCCACCAAGATGACATGACGAAGCGCAGGGGAAGAAGCTCACCCTGCCAGCTCTGAACCCCCCAAACGGGGAGAAGCCGTCCACCGCCGCCACCAGAGGCCGGAAGACAACCAAAATCGCCCACCAACAGCAGGACCATACGAGAGTCAACAGAACAAGCTGCTCCCCCAGCGCCCGTCAACAGAGAAAGGAACAGAGCCCCTTCTGAAAGAAAAAGTACACATACAAATATATACATATACACACAAGGTATGAGACACAGACGTGCATATGCACATACACATGTGCACACACACAGTGTACACATGTACATGCTTACACACACACAAACACTTGAAAAGGAAATTACAAGCCGCCGACCAGTGGGCAGAGCACACGCCGGCCAGGCAAAAAAGCACAAAACTGCATCTAAAGGCCCACCTCGACAAAACCACAAAGTCCCAGCATGACCACAACACCGTGCCAAGACCCAAAAAGATCAGTCTGCAAGCCAGGAAGACCCGGAACTCAAGAAGGCAGAAACCGGGGCACACACGAGGAAACAAAGGGGGCCCAAGAACCCACAAAGGGGGCCCAAGAACCCACAAAGGGGGCCCAAGAGGAAGAAACCTCCGGAACGAAACCGTAGAACCCAAAGGAACCCGGAATCAAACCAGGCGGAGGCCAAACCACCACATTTTGCCGGCGGAGAACACCACAGAAAAGCAAAGCACAGCCCCCAGACAGAACCCTCTGGGAAAACGGTCATAACAGACCGAAAACCGAAGGACAAGGTGTGGGAGCAAGCATAACAGCCAAGGACACTGAGCCCAAACCCAAAGGTTCAGATCCAAAACAGACAAAAATGGGAAACCCGGTGTAAAATCAACACTCAAACTTTCCCAGAGTAACAGGAAACGGGCAGAAAACACCAGAAAAGCAAAGAAATGACAACAGGAGAATAAAACCCCTGAAAAAAGGTGAAAACTCACCCAAGACGCTTGCTCGCACACCCAGTCGCATGTAAACAAACCACAACGCCGCCCTGGTGGCCACGCCGGGAAACCGGAAGACGAAAATGGCCGCCAGAAGGGGCTGTGACTGACGCTAAAGAAACAAAAATACGCCAGCAAAAGTGGGAAGCAAGGAGACTGGATGGGCAAAAAACGCCGCCCAAAAGCAGAAAACCCAGGCAGGGGCAAACTGCCCCAGAACTGCTAGCAGGCATCCCCCACAGCCCCGGGAACCAGCAACAGAGGCCCTGGGGCAGAGCCGTCCTCCAAGGCCTCCGCCCTTAAAGAAAAGCAAGAGTCCATGGGAAAGGCAGCAAGAAAGGGCCGCTGGTAAGACCCAGAAGCCTTGGCAGGAGGAACAGGCTCAAAAATCTCCGTCCCCAACCAGAACGCGGCAGCCCCCCAAAACCGCTCGAGTCTTGGCCCCAACTACACCCTACCCCGAAATCCGCAGATGGTCCAGAGCCGGAAACAGGGAGGGAAAGGGGCGAACAGCACCTAACCAAAATGGGGCGGCTCCGGGGCATCCGAGTGGAAACCAACCTAGCGTGTTGCAGCAACCTAACCTAGCTTGCAACACGGATGCTGACTGTACTCTGAACAGTAATAACATCAGGAGAGTACTGGAGAACAAGCAGAGAATATCTCTCGCAAGACTCCAGGTCAAGGTGTTAGTGACCCAACAGGCAACATGACGGAGGTAAAAGTGACGACTGTCACCCGGAGACAAGGGCACAGCAATCAACGATCCCGTATAAGACGGGTTGGAACCCGGAAGACACATTCAATGGTCCACCGAGCCCCGACAGGATTTTCCAGGGCCCGTAGGGTAACAACTACAGGAAGCCCGGGCAAGGTGTTGCTAACCGGTTAAAACCCAAAAACTAACACTGGGTAGAGGACAACACTCAAAACCCCTGCGATGTGTACAATCACAGGGGCCTAGCAGAAGGCCATCAAACACTACCAGAGGAACTATAGCCACACTAGGCAGACCCCCACCTGGCAAATGAAAATAAAAACAAAAGAAAAACTCCGCAAAAGTACACCGTCCTCGGAGGCAACAGGAACCGGTCGCCGCTTAGGTAGCAGGTCATGCAACACCTTGACGCCCTAACCAGTACAATACCAGTCCCTATCCAGGGCCAAACAAGGGCCCCCAAGCCCCAGCTGGCCCCAAGGGTGAGGCAAATGCCGAGCAGCAAGAACCCCTACTGGAATGGTTCCCGAACGCCCCAGGGAAGATTACCCTGTCACACAGGGGCAGTACTCACAGGGCGCTTAGGGTAGGAATCCCCTAAGCACATGCAGCCCCGGTACTGATGAACACCTGGCCACCGCACAACACAATACACGGCAGTGAATGCCACGAAAGGTAAACACGGCCTAGGAAACTGAGGCCAGAGAAGCGTCTATCCCGGTTGACATTAGCTTACGAACTGATGCTAGGCAACTGGCGTGGTGAGGTCTGGGGCTCCCCCCTTCCCCTTTCGGGAAGGGGAGGGCTGCGCGGACGATCGGCGCAGCAGTAAAGTGTGATGTTTCCTTGTTTCCTTGGGATTGTAGGGAGTTTCTACATCTCTGTTCGGTTTTCTGTTTTAGTTTTTTTTACCATGAGGGGTTTGTTTTATTATGCCTACCTTTCTGGGTGCCTAACCCCGGTCGATGACAGATAAGGAAAACCCCAACCACAAGGGGGTTTTCCAGGGGCCATTGCTCCCTTAAACCTCTCTGAAGGGGTAGGTTCTGGCGCTGGTCCCTAGTAGGTCTGAACTCATTAGCTAATGTCCCAGGCTAATATAACATACATTAGCCCAATAAGCTCCAGGGATCCGTAGGGGGCTCCCCACAGAAAACACCACTCGCAGGACTCCGGGTCATAGGTGTCACTGACTCCAACAAGCAGCAAGGCGGAGGCAGACGGTGAGTGTCACCTCAAAATAGGGAAACAGAGCAACCTTCAAACTCGCACAAGGTGAGGTGGGACTCAGAGGTCTCCTACATTGGACCACTGAGCCCGAATGGGATTTTCCAGGGCCCTTAGGCTGACTGCTAAGGGAAGCCCAGGCGAGGTACTACTAACCGGTTATCCCAGAGCTACCAAGCAAACAATCTAAAAGCTGAACCCCTGCAACCTGTGCAAGCACGGGGACCTAGTGGAGGGCCACCAAAAACCTACCAGTGGTCCTACTGTCACACCTGGCAAACTCCTGCTAGGCAAAACAAAACAAAAACCCCGCAAAAGCACAACGTCTTCAGAAGAACAGAACCGGTCGCTATGCATATATCTGACAGTTGCACAGTACCTCGCACCCCAGCCAGCGACGAGACTACCTCCTAACCCAAGGGAAAACAGGAGTAAGAACCACCCCAACTGAACCCCTAAGGGCAGGCAATCACTGAGCAGCGACAGAACCACACGGAGGTAGTTTGTCCTGAACGGCTCTATGAAGATAACCCTGAGGCCGCAAAGGCAGTACTTACAGGGCACCTAGGGAAGGCGACCCTAGGTGCATGCAGCCCCAGTACTCTTGTGTTACGTCTGGCTCTCACACTACCAAAACAGAGCAACAACACCGCACTGCAGCACTGCGCAAAGAGTATAGCCAGAGCGATCGACCGTCACCAACACAACAGCCTCCTGAACCGAGGGGAGTTGCCGGTGTGGAGGTCTGGGACCCCCCCTGTCCCCCTCCCGGGAAAGGGTGGGGTTGCGTAGACGGATGCGCGGCGTTTGTGGTGACGTCATACTTGGTTCCTTGGTTTTGACTGGGGAGTCCTGTTGCTAGTTCGGCTTTCGGTTTGCAATTTATTTGATCAGCAGTAGTTTGTTTTGGAATTCCTACCTTTCTGGGTGCCTGACTTGGTAGATGGCAGACAAAAACTACTTCCAATTACACGAGGGTGTCTTTAGGCCATTGCTCCTCATGCCTCTCTTGAGGACGCCAGGTTCTGGCTCTGGTCCTCGGTAGGCCTTCGATTGACTGTTGCCACGGTCGAATATATACACATCATCCCGGTATAACTAAGGGAAGCTGAAGGGACTCTCTACAGAAAATTCAGTTATCATAGTGATGTGGGATGACTACTACCCATGACCAAGTTTCCATAAGATTACAAGAACCAATCTAATATAAATTTGCTATGTTATTATTGAAAAATATATAAGTAGTACTCATACCAAGTCACTGAGGAAATAATTGATTTTATCTCCAACAGTTCCATCGATGATACAGCTGAGGATGGGATTGACAAAATGAGCTGCATATGGAGCAAACACTTTAGAGGTGTTCATAATTAACCGCAGAAGGAACAGCTTCACATTTCGAGGTGTGTCAGCACACTCAATCTTCTGCTGCAAGTTTCTCATCAAAGGTGGAATATCCGAGGCTGTAGGAGTCGAGTCCTGAAAGAAAAATGTATTAAGAAAACTGGATATACTCTTATGTATGAAAACATGTCAATGTGTGAATTTGCATACAGCATATTCATGCATTTATTTGTCCAAGTTTGTTTTTATCTAATGTACAACTTCCCTCTGTGTGCATCTGTTTGTCTATTTGTGTTTGGTGGACGAGCTCCAGTTTTTTAACCCTTAAACTGCGCAATGCGCCTGCAGGCTCACGTCTGGTTTGCGCAACGCGCCTCCGGGTATTTGTATTTTTCACATTCCATTCAAAACTCCCGCGGCTACATGGGGTTCACATCAGTTTCCTCAGGGCTCTTGTAAACAGACGCCATCTTAAAAAAAAATCGTGGTCCACATTCCCGGGTGTGGGAGCCTCAGTAGTGTGTGAGCAACCAAGGCTGGCGCATGAGCGCACAGCACTGCTGTTCAGCATGTGACCACAGCATCGCCTAATAATGTCAAAATATATATATAACTTGTATTATTTAGCTATGATAGTGTTATATTAGAGCCTGAGTGTGATAATGACTGGGTACAATGTTCAAATATCAGTGATTCAATGCTGTTCACGATGTTCACAGCGCTAGCCACAGCACCACAGCATTATTTCCTTCATCTAGGAATCTTCAAATGATTTCTTAGGTTCCTTTTCAAAATAAACGTGTGGTCAATTATTCATTTACAGGAATTAGTGACCAGGATTGTGATAATAGCAGGAATGTGGTTATAATTAGCGTTGTGCGTACTATTGTAGAAGGAGGAATTTTGATGAGGGAGGGAGGGCGAGAATTGAGGTAGCCTCATTGTGTGTGTGGCTGCCACTCTTGTTTTGCTCACCATACTAGCTTAGTGGTTCGCTATGGGCAACACATATGTACATGGGTATATATAGTGTAAGAACAGCAACAGGAGAATGTTGAGAGGAGCTATTTTGGTGAGGGAGGTGACGTAATCGTAGCGTCGTCTGCTGTGTGATTTTTCATGCAGTGTATGGTGGCCACTGTACTGTTTGGACACAATACCGGCTAACTTACATAGTTCTGGTAAATAAAACATGTAGATAGGTATATAGAACATGTGTAATAAGAACTATAACAATATGGTGGGAGGAGCAATGTTGGCGAGTAAGATGTTGGAGTGAGGGAGACAGGCTGGGTGTGGCTGCTCTCACTCGAGGTGTTCTGAATGTGTTCATGGCCAAATGCTCCTATTGGCCCATACGAGGCAGCTGCTATTGGCCCATACGAGGCAGCTGCTATTGGCCCATACGAGGCAGCTGCTATTGGCCCATACGAGGCAGCTGCTATTGGCCCATACGAATCAGCTGCTGTTGGCCCATACGAGTCAGCTGCTGTTGGCCCATACGAGGCAGCTGCTGTTGGCCCATACGAGGCAGCTGCTGTTGGCCCATACGAGGCAGCTGCTGTTGGCCCATACGAGGCAGCTGCTGTTGCCCCATACGAGGCAGCTGATATTGGCCCATACGAGGCAGCTGATATTGGCCCATACGGGGCAGCTGCTATTGGCCCATACGGGGCAGCTGCTATTGGCCCATACGGGGCAGCTGCTATTGGCCCATACGGGGCAGCTGCTATTGGCCCATACGGGACAGCTGATATTGGCCCATACGGGGCAGCTGATATTGGCCCATACGAGGCAGCTGATATTGGCCCATACGAGGCAGCTGATATTGGCCCATACGAGGCAGCTGATATTGGCCCATACGAGGCAGCTCCTATTGGCCCATACGAGGCAGCTCCTATTGGCCCATACGAGGCAGTTCCTATTGGCCCATACGAGGCAGTTCCTATTGGCCCATACGAGGCAGCTCCTATTGGCCCATACGAGGCAGCTCCTATTGGCCCATACGAGGCAGCTGCTATTGGCCCATACGGGGCAGCTGCTATTGGCCCATACGGGGCAGCTGCTATTGGCCCATACGGGGCAGCTGCTATTGGCCCATACGGGGCAGCTGCTATTGGCCCATACGGGGCAGCTGCTATTGGCCCATACGGGGCAGCTGCTATTGGCCCATACGGGGCAGCTGCTATTGGCCCATACGGGGCAGCTGCTATTGGCCCATACGGGGCAGCTGCTATTGGCCCATACGGGGCAGCTGCTATTGGCCCATACGGGGCAGCTGCTATTGGCCCATACGGGGCAGCTGCTGTTGGCCCATACGAAGCAGCTGCTACGCGGTGTTCTGAATGTGTTGATGGTGAATGTATATAGTGTGTGACAGTGTATAGTGTGTAAATAGATTGTATATATACACAAATTAGCATGATACATAGTAAATATGTGCTGCATATGTGTTCACAAGTTTCATGCACGTAACACAGTGTCTAAGGACAGTACGGATGTTGTACTGCGATATTATAGTGTACGTGTTCATTATACATTGGATTGGCACATAAAAACAATGAAAATGTATTTGGAAAGGTGCGCAAAAAATGAACGAAAATATATTCACGGCAACTCGCGCGCCCCGCCCTGAGTGCCCCACCGCCCCCGAGAGCTTACGACACGGGCGCACGGGAAATGATGACGTCACGCCCCAACTTCCGGACCCCATAGCAGCCAAAGCAAGCACAATTTCGATTTTTTTTTTACATACCCATACTGAGGGAAGGGTTTTTGACACTTTAACACTTTCGCGCTCTCGGCGCTCAAAAAAAAACAATACCCCAGATGCTTTCGGCACTTCGCGCGCCTACGCGGTAAGACCGAAAAAGTGTACACTCTTTTGACTGTCCTGACAATAATTGAAGGCGCACGTATTTAAATTTGGTATCACTGTGTTCGCAATGAAATTGTCTATAAGAGCATACCTATAAAATGCCGCCCAAGCATAAGGAGTATCAACACCAAATAAAAAACTATGCAGATCACTCGCCGAGAGCGCCAAACAGCAACAAAATGTTTCCACTTTCTTAATGGTTGCGAAGCCTACAGTTGTCCTACATCGCTAATTTTGGTATCATTGGAATCGCAATAAAATTCTCTACACGGACATATGCATATGAATGTTTAATATAGGTAATTGCCCACCCGCAAGAGTGTGTGAAGTGGAGAGTAGTTAGCCGCGAGCGCACTGGCGAAAACACAGGGGGGAAATCATGCTTGGAAAGTTTATACGTTTCCTGACCCTACTTTTCTATGTACGTATTTCTTTTTTATACCAATGTGTTCGCAATAAAATTTTCTATAAGATGAACTGTATAACATTGGTACAAAGCATGTGTAAGAGAAGCGCCAAATATAGAACCACGTCGCTCAGTATGCGTTCGCGGCAGAAACGAACGCATTATTTTCGTTCGTTTGATGTTTGTCATGTTTATACTTGTTGAAACATTTTATAATTTGTATGACAGTGATCGCAGTAAAATTCCCTACACAGACATATACATAACACATACAAATATTTCCCACGTGTTGGATATATCAACGGCTAAAGGGAACCCACTGCCACACGCTCGCCACACCCCCAAACATACTTTGTGTATTTTTTTTTTTACTCATAGAAGTTTATGTGATATAATATTCATTCTGGTACCAAAAAATTCGCAAATAAATTCTCTACAAAACAAAAGTATCCCCATCCATTTCGGTTAAAAAATGGAATTTATAGAAATATTTTTTCGATTGACGAGAAAAGTAGGCAGTTATGCGGAATCGTAAGAAAAATCAGTGACGAGTTATCTCTAATATAAAGCGCGAAAGTGTTAAAAAGAAAAAAGAATTTTTTCCAGAGAATTTATTTCCTGCGCACTGCGGGGGTGTCACATTTGGAGGCAACGCAATTAAGGGGTTAATCTTGCTTCAAAACTATTGTTTGATGTAAAGGCTCTTGATCCTGTAGTTAACTTCTACTAACCCCTCTGGTAGCTCATTCCTCATTGTTCACCACATGATATTATGATGCGATTTATCTGCATGATGCTATTCTACCTGTGTAATACACAAGCACTTACCACCATAAATAGCAAGAGCTAGAGCAGCAAAATATATTTCTTTGTGCTAGCTGCGGTCAGACTTCCACTGTGTTTGCAGCAGTCAGGCTTCCACTGTGCTATCCACAGAAATAACACCACACAAGACCAGAAGGCATGGCAGGATGTGCCGAATACCCCTGTTGAAGAGCAGAAGTGCAATAGGTACGCTAAGGAAGAACTATCAACATCAGAGGCCCGAGACTGTTTCAAAACACTTCCACTACCCATAAAGGGGCATATCTGGCTGACTCATCAGTGTTCAAAAGAGAACTTGATAAACACCTCCAAAGGATACCTGATCAACAAGGCTCTGATTCATACATCAGCTGCATCCAACAGCCTGGTTGACCAGTCCAGCAACCAGGAAGCCTGGTCGAGGACCGGGCCGCGGGGATATTGAGCCCAGAAATCATCGCAAGGTAACTGCACGGTGCCTGCTATGGCCAGGTTTCCACTGTGCTTGCTGCGGCCAGGCTTCCACTGTGCTTGCTGCGGCCAGGCTTCTACTGTGCTTGCTGCGGCCAGGCGTCCACTGTGCTTGCTGCGGCCAGGCTTCCACTGTGCTTGCTACGGCCAGGTTTCCACTGTGCTTGCTGCGGCCAGGCTTCCACTGTGCTTGCTGCGGCCAGGCTTCCACTGTGCTTGCTGCGGCCAGGCTTCCACTGTGCTTGCTGCGGCCAGGCTTCCACTGTGCTTGCTGCGGCCAGGCTTCCACTGTGCTTGCTGCGGCCAGGTTTCCACTGTGCTTGCTGCGGCCAGGCTTCTACTGTGCTTGCTGCGGCCAGGCTTCCACTGTGCTTGCTGCGGCCAGGCTTCCACTGTGCTTGCTGCGGCCAGGTTTCCACTGTGCTTGCTGCGGCCAGGCTTCCACTGTGCTTGCTGCAGCCAGGCTTCTACTGTGCTTGCTGCGGCCAGGCGTCCACTGTGCTTGCTGCGGCCAGGCTTCCACTGTGCTTGCTGCGGCCAAGCTTCTACTGTGCTTGCTGCGGCCAGGCGTCCACTGTGCTTGCTGCGGCCAGGCGTCCACTGTGCTTGCTGCGGCCAGGCTTCCACTGTGCTTGCTGCGGCCAGGCTTCCACTGTGCTTGCTGCGGCCAGGCTTCCACTGTGCTTGCTGCGGCCAGGCTTCCACTGTGCTTGCTGCGGCCAGGCTTCCACTGTGCTTGCTGCGGCCAGGCTTCCACTGTGCTTGCTGCGGCCAGGCTTCCACTGTGCTTGCTGCGGCCAGGCTTCCACTGTGCTTGCTGCGGCCAGGCTTCCACTGTGCTTGCTGCGGCCAGGCTTCCACTGTGCTTGCTGCGGCCAGGCTTCCACTGTGCTTGCTGCGGCCAGGCTTCCACTGTGCTTGCTGCGGCCAGGCTTCCACTGTGCTTGCTGCGGCCAGGCTTCCACTGTGCTTGCTGCGGCCAGGCTTCCACTGTGCTTGCTGCGGCCAGGCGTCCACTGTGCTTGCTGCGGCCAGGCTTCCACTGTGCTTGCTGCGGCCAGGCTTCCACTGTGCTTGCTGCGGCCAGGCTTCCACTGTGCTTGCTGCGGCCAGGCTTCCACTGTGCTTGCTGCGGCCAGGCTTCCACTGTGCTTGCTGCGGCCAGGCTTCCACTGTGCTTGCTGCGGCCAGGCTTCCACTGTGCTTGCTGCGGCCAGGCTTCCACTGTGCTTGCTGCGGCCAGGCGTCTACTGTGCTTGCTGCGGCCAGGCTTCCACTGTGCTTGCTGCGGCCAGGCGTCCACTGTGCTTGCTGCGGCCAGGCTTCCACTGTGCTTGCTGCGGCCAGGCGTCCACTGTGCTTGCTGCGGCCAGGCGTCCACTGTGCTTGCTGCGGCCAGGCTTCCACTGTGCTTGCTGCGGCCAGGCTTCCACTGTGCTTGCTGCGACCAGGCATCCACTGTGCTTGCTGCGGCCAGGCATCCACTGTGCTTGCTGCGGCCAGGCTTCCACTGTGCTTGTTGTGGCCAGGCTTACAATGTGCTTGTTGCAGTCAGGCTTACAATGTGCTTGTTGCAGTCAGGCTTACAATGTGCTTGCTGCAGTCAGGCTTACAATGTGCTTGTTGCGGCCAGGCGTCCACTGTGCTTGCTGCGGCCAGGCTTCCACTGTGCTTGCTGCGGCCAAGCTTCTACTGTGCTTGCTGCGGCCAGGCGTCCACTGTGCTTGCTGCGGCCAGGCGTCCACTGTGCTTGCTGCGGCCAGGCTTCCACTGTGCTTGCTGCGGCCAGGCTTCCACTGTGCTTGCTGCGGCCAGGCTTCCACTGTGCTTGCTGCGGCCAGGCTTCCACTGTGCTTGCTGCGGCCAGGCTTCCACTGTGCTTGCTGCGGCCAGGCTTCCACTGTGCTTGCTGCGGCCAGGCTTCCACTGTGCTTGCTGCGGCCAGGCTTCCACTGTGCTTGCTGCGGCCAGGCTTCCACTGTGCTTGCTGCGGCCAGGCTTCCACTGTGCTTGCTGCGGCCAGGCTTCCACTGTGCTTGCTGCGGCCTGGCTTCCACTGTGCTTGCTGCGGCCAGGCTTCCACTGTGCTTGCTGCGGCCAGGCTTCCACTGTGCTTGCTGCGGCCAGGCGTCCACTGTGCTTGCTGCGGCCAGGCTGTCCACTGTGCTTGCTGCGGCCAGGCTTCCACTGTGCTTGCTGCGGCCAGGCTTCCACTGTGCTTGCTGCGGCCAGGCTTCCACTGTGCTTGCTGCGGCCAGGCTTCCACTGTGCTTGCTGCGGCCAGGCTTCCACTGTGCTTGCTGCGGCCAGGCTTCCACTGTGCTTGCTGCGGCCAGGCTTCCACTGTGCTTGCTGCGGCCAGGCTTCCACTGTGCTTGCTGCGGCCAGGCGTCTACTGTGCTTGCTGCGGCCAGGCTTCCACTGTGCTTGCTGCGGCCAGGCGTCCACTGTGCTTGCTGCGGCCAGGCTTCCACTGTGCTTGCTGCGGCCAGGCGTCCACTGTGCTTGCTGCGGCCAGGCGTCCACTGTGCTTGCTGCGGCCAGGCTTCCACTGTGCTTGCTGCGGCCAGGCTTCCACTGTGCTTGCTGCGACCAGGCATCCACTGTGCTTGCTGCGGCCAGGCATCCACTGTGCTTGCTGCGGCCAGGCTTCCACTGTGCTTGTTGTGGCCAGGCTTACAATGTGCTTGTTGCAGTCAGGCTTACAATGTGCTTGTTGCAGTCAGGCTTACAATGTGCTTGCTGCAGTCAGGCTTACAATGTGCTTGCTGTAGTCAGGCTTCTACTGTGTTATAGTAAACTGTTATACTGTTTATAATATACATCTTTGCAAGTAGCCAGCACAAAGATTCGGCTCCTTTTGATGCTTGAGGAAAGATTTTGTCTGGTCCTATGGACTTTGTTGTATTTAACTGATTCCGGTACTTTCTAATTTTAGTCTTGAAAATTTATTAATTCACCAGCATTAATTCAGGCAGCTAGCTATACTGCACTGTGAAGACCCCTCAAAACTGTCTGTTGGAAGTTACCTGAAAACACTTTTCGCTCTTTTGTAAAAGTGCCACCATCTATCCTCAGTTTCGTCACCAGCACCTTAAAGCTGCTCTAATATTTCCGCACGTTGTTGTGGATTATTTTGGATTTTGTCTTTGCTGTAGCTGCTCTGTTAATATCAAGCTCCATGCCTACGATTATGCATGATTCTGTGCTAGTGAACACAGGTATGTTTAGTCCAAACATTTGTATTAAAATGTGTGTCATGAATACATTCCTGTACAATTTGTTTATATGTTAAAAGCATTAATACTGTACCCCTTTATGTAAGACCAAGATCCCAGCATCCACCATGTAATGAATAACTGCAGTGAGATTAGCCATCACTTCATGCCCATTGTAGTCACTCTGGTCCAAATGAAGCGTCATCAATTCCCCGCTGCCACCATTAGTGCTGAAATCTCTGATAAACAATGTTATTATTAAATATGAATTGGTTCATACAGGATTGATATGCATTACAAATGTGTAAACTAATCTCATTAGGTTTAGAGAAGTAACTGAATCGAGAATCGTTTATAGTATACAGTATGTGTGTGGTCGATTTTAACCCATGGGCTGCTCCCATTTAAATGAGAATGCCCAGATGCATGGGGGGTGGGGAGCAAAGGCATTGAATGTAATGAAACACCAGTTTCTGGGTGAGCACCAGAGGCTTCTTGAAACTATCATACACTGACCAGTGCCATACTACTTAATGCCATCAGTGGAGTAATTCTATTTGCCTACCAAGGACCATGAGCCAGAACCAGGTCTCCTCAGAGCAACTTGGAGTGATGGACTATGATGTCTTTACATTTATATCACTTTACATCTTTGCCACCACCTAGGAAGCCCCCAAAAAATAAGCAATTCAAAACAGACCAATGCATGGTTTAAAACAAGACTGCCACACCCAAATTGTCAAAAGAACTCCTAACAATTAAAATTAAAATTGGTGAAACTAGCCCCTCCCACTAGTTTGCTCCCCCCCCCACCTCTCTGAGGGGGAAGAGGGACCTGGCATGGGTCATCCGAACCTCACAATGGTCAGTTCTCGAATGATAAAAACACCCTGACGACTTGGGGAAGTGAGGGTGTCAGGCAGCCTCCCGGGCTCACCCAGAAACTGGTGTTTCATTACATTCAACGCTGGTATTCTGTGGTGAGCCCTGTCAGCTTCCTTAAGATAACTACCCACAAAGTAGGAGAAAAGGGAGCATGTACGAGGGAGGTGGCAGCACTGCAGGTATCAAGTCGAAGGCGAGACATACAGCCACGATATACAACCCAGAGCTACACAAGGCACCAGAGGACCAGGGATGGTAACAAAATACTAGTACATGGCAACCATGACCCTGTTTGACCTTTAAAATCCCAACACTCGAATATCAGCCCTAAACAATACCAAACACAGATGTCAGACCAGCATACTTCCAGACATCATGAGCACGAGGGTAGACCGCAGGCAGGCTAGCTGTAATGACATTGCTGACAACCTGAAAAATACAAGCCCTGGAACAGGTAACCAGGAAAACAGGATCAACCCACAATGAGTACAGTACACTGAAACAGGGCAACCCGAAGGTAGCAGCACAAAGCTGCCACTAGACGAAGTGCATGACGCACCCCCACCAAACAAGTATCCACAACTGAAAGGCACCCTCCTAAAGTAACATATCGGAATTTGAAGAAAAATGTAAAATAAAATCACATAGTGAGGGAGAGAGAGGTGGAAGGGAGGGGTGAAGAAGGCTGGTCAGTAGAAAGGGAAAGTTTTGAATGAGAGAAAATGGGTTAGAGTAGGTATATTAGATAGGAGGTAGATAGAAAAGGTAGGAGAGTAGAGAGTGCTGCCACCAATCATTCAAGTGTTCATTATGAGAAAGAATGTAACTTGTCTATACCAAAATATTATCTGATGTTATCAAGTAACCACTGTAAGAATGTGAATCATATAGTCAAGATTCTTCAAGTCATAATCTTTAGCTAGTAAACTTCAGAGTACTCTTCACTCTGGGTTTCACTATCCAAGATCTAGCGATCACAATTAAAGATACCATATTTGGCGTCTTATAAGACATGATTTTTTTATTTTTAAATGTATAAAAAACCAGCGTTGAATGTACTTAAACGCCATTTTCTGGGTAAGTCCCGGAGGCTCCCCAGAGCTATCCATGGCTGATATGGATACCCCTAACTATTTTGCATCAGTCGATGTGGGTGGAGTTCTAGCCTACCGGGGACCACGAGCCAGAACCTTACCCCCTCGCAGAGGCACAGGGAGCAATGGCTCATAGAAATGCACATGTGATTTGGAGCATTCTGTATCTGCCATCGACTGGGACAGGCACCCAGAAAGGTAAGCACCACAAAACAAACCCCTATTCTGGTTAACAACGAGAATCGTCAAACGAGTGGACATAACTCCCCAAAAGAAAAAGAAAAACGAGCAAACAAGCATGACGTCACATGAGCCACGCCGCATGTCTGCGCAGCTACCCCCTCTCCGGGAGGGGAAAAGGGAAGCCCCAGACCCTCACACCGGTGATCCCCGTCCCAGTTCTTCGGCTGGATATAAAAAACCGCGAAAAACCGCCGATCGGAGGGAGGGAGGGTTGCCAGGGAGCCTCCAGGACTCACCCAGAAAATGGCGTTTCATTACATTCAATGCTGGTTTCCTGGGGGAAGCCCCTATGGCTCCCAGAGCTACTTCACCAATGTCAGCCCAAGACATATTGCCAAAGACGGCAGCAAGAGCAGCAAACTTACGAATGTCACGGGCACGGGGATAGACCACAGGCTGGCTTGATTTAATAACCCTGCGGATGACTTGAGAGACCCGAATCTGCGAACAGGGAAGAAGGTAATCCGGATCAACCCAAAGCACGTTACCGGACACAGAAGCCGTGGCGCGAAGATAACGGCGGAAGGCCGCAACCAGACACAACACATGGTGAACACTCAGCCTGACAAACCAGCATCAACAACCCATTCAGTCTCATCCTTCGCCAGAAAAGAGGGAGTCGGCTGAAGACGAACATACCTATGACCACGACCAAAAGAGCAGAAACCTCTGCACCTGAGCAGAGCATGAAGCTCCGTAACACGACCCCCCAGAAACCAATGTCAACAGAAAAAGAGCCTTAGCAAAGCAATCCTGAACCAAAGGGGCCACAACAAACCAAGGAGAAGAAAGAGAGGAGAGCACTCTGTCCAAAGACCAGGACGGTTCAGGCGGCACATAAGCAGGCTGGAGGTGAAACAACGCCCGAGACAGCTTGCGAAATGGTGCAAATGTAACATCCATATCGAAAGCAATCAGCAGCAGCCCCGCCAGTGCTGCACGATACGAGGTGACAGTATGAGGCATAGGTTGACAGTCCTGGAATAACCAAGAGAGAAAGGATAACACCACCAGAACTGAAAGCGAAGAGCAACGACGAAGGGACAAAAAGAACCGGAAGGACCGCCAGGAATCTTCATACTGCCGCCGGGAGGAAGCCAGCAGGTGGGAAACCAACAAGGAAGCCACCTGATCACCATAGAGATGGTGATAAACACGAGTCAAAAACACCAAACGCGAACTCGCCGAGAAGAGCAAACCAGTCTCGTACTGGACCAGGCCGATCTCCTGAAACAGGTGGAGCCGCAGAAAAACCTCTGGGTTTGGACACCAGGCAAGCGGCACTTGAAAACACAGCTGGGTCGGCCACCATGGGGCCAAGAGGACTCCTCGCCCCTCGCCAAGAGGACTCCTCGCCCCTCGCCAAGAGGACTCCTCGCCCCTCGCCAAGAGGACTCCTCGCCCCTCACCAAGAGGACTCCTCGCCCCTCGCTTAGAGGACTACTGAGGAAAGAGGTACAGGAACCCCACCTCGACCAGTCCTGCCAAAAAGCGTCGATCCCGACAGCCTTGCAGTCGGAGAAGGGCGCCATGTAAACCGGAAGACGCCTTGACGCCCACTGGTCAGACCCTGGAGCAACGACAGGAGGAACAGACTCGAATGCCTCCGCAGCCACCCCGGACGGGGCAACCCCCGAAACTGCCCGAGTCTCAGAAACCTCTAAATCTTGCCCCGACCCCGAAGACATCACACACTTACGGACCGAATGAATCACTGAAGGGAAAGTACGAGGGGGCGCGGACGGAACCAAGGCCGAAGCGACCAACACCATCAAGTCAGAGTCCCTATAGACAAAGCGGGGAAGCGACAACCCGAGCGCGTTGCAACAACCTAAACCTACCCTGTAACGCGCGAGCAGCCTGCACCCGAAGCAAATCATCATCAGACTGGGTGAATTGAGTCACGAACAAGCAACACAGCTCGCAGGACTCGGGGTTGAATGTGTCACTGAACCAACAGGCAGCATGACGGAGGCAAAAACAATGAGTGTCACCCTAAGACAAAGGGACAGAGTAACCCTCAAATCCGCACAAAGCGAGAGGGGACACAAGGGTCTCCTCCATTGGACCCGAGAGCCCCGGTGAAGTTTTCCAGGGCCCCTAGACTGGGTCTGCTAAGGGTTATCCCAGGCAGGGCACTGCTAACCAGCGCCCAAAACTACCAAGCAAACTGCTAAAAGGTGAACCCATGGGATGCGTCCACTCACGAGGGCAAAGCAGGGGGTGCCACCACAAAAAAAATTACCTTAATATAAGGGAAAAGGGAGAACACAAGGCAGACCAACCAGGCAAAAACAAAAAGAAAAGAAAAACCACGCAAGTGGACAATGTACCCAGAGGGAACAGAGCTGACCGCTGTTATAGGTGAAAACTAGCCACACAGTACCCCGCCCCACCAGTGCTATAACTATCACTCACCCCAAGGTAAACAAGGGAGGGAAAACCCCCAAACACTCGGGGCGGCCAAATGCCAAGCAGCGAAAAGCCACCAGAGGTAGACCCAAGGTGTGACCCAACGGGAGTCGGTCGGCCGAGCGGACAGCACACTGGACTTGTGATCCTGTGGTCCTGGGTTCGATCCCGGGCGCCGGCGAGAAACAATGGGCAGAGTTTCTTTCACCCTATGCCCCTGTTACCTAGCAGTAAAATAGGTACCTGGGTGTTAGTCAGCTGTCACAGGCTGCTTCCTGGGGATGGTGGCCTGGTCGAGGACTGGGCCGCGGGGACACTAAAGCCCCGAAATCATCAAGATAACCTCTCAAGAGAAGGTGACTTGTGGAAGATAACCCCAAGCCCCATGCCCTTACAGGGCACTCAGGGAAGGTGACCCTAAACACATGAAGCCTGAGTACCTGAGAATAATACTCCCAGCTCACACGACCACCGTAAGAGCAGCACTGAAAACAAAGAACAGCACTGAGACAAGACTGGAGCTGGAGCAGAGTCTTCCGAGTTCCTCCCATCAGCCGAGGAACTGGGGTGGGAATCGCTGGCCCGAGAGTCTGGGGCTCCTCCTTTCCCCTCCTGGGGAGGGGGGGATCTACGCAGACATGCGGTGCATCTCGTGTGACGTCATGCTTGTTTGCTCGTTTTTCTTTTGGGGAGTTCTGTCCACTCGTTTGATGATTCTCATTGTTAACCAGAATGGGGTTTGTTTTGTGGCGCTTACCTTTCTGGGTGCCTGTCCCGGTCGATGGCAGATATAAAATGCTCCAAATCACATTTCAAATCAATCACATTGCTCCAAATCCAAATCAGGAGCTGGTCGGCCGAGCGCACAGCACGCTGGACTTGTGATCCTGTGGTCCTGGGTTCGATCCCAGGTGCCGGCGAAAAACAATGGGCAGAGTTTCTTTCACCCTATGCCCCTGTTACCTAGCAGTAAAATAGGTACCTGGGTGTTAGTCAGCTGTCACGGGCTGCTTCCTGGGGGTGGAGGCCTGGTCGAGGACCGGGCCGCGGGGACACTAAAAAGCCCCGAAATCATCTCAAGATAACATGTGCATTTCCATGAGCCATTGCTCCCCGTGCCTCTGTGAAGGGGCCAGGTTCCGGCATGTGGTCCCCAGCAGGCTAGAACTCCACCCATATCGACTGATGCAAAATATTTAGGGTATCCATATCAACCATGGATAGCTTGGGGGAGCCATAAGGGCTCCCCCCAGAAAAACCAGCGTTAAATGTAATGAAACACCAATATCTGGACGAGCCCCGTCGGCTCCTTGGAACTATCGGACTGATATTAACTATATTAGTCTGGGGCTCCAGTAATATGGGGCACCTGACAGCTGAGTGGACAGCGCTTATGATTCGTAGTCTTGAGGTTCTGGGTTCGATCCCCGGTGGAGGCACAGACAAATGGGCAAAATATTTCTTTCATATTGTTACCTAGCAGTAAATAGGTACCTGGGAGTTAGACAGCTGCTACGAGCTGCTTCCTGGGGGGTGTGTAACAAAAAAGAGGCTTAGTCGGGGAACGGGCCGCGGAGACGCTAAGCCCCGAAATCATCAAGATAACCTCAAGATATGGAGTTCTGCCTACCGGGAACCACAAGAAGAACCTGGTCCTCCTCAGAGAAACGCAGGGAGAAATGGCCTTTGAAAACTCCACTCTATGAGAGAACAGTGATACCTCAATTTACGAACTTTTCGGGTTATGAGCCCAATTTCTTAGTAAAATTTGAATTGAGTAACGAACTTTGCCTCAGGTTTGTTGATACACGTATGGCCGACCTAGCGTGTGGTGGCATAGCGACCGCGCCTCAGTTTACCAGTGCCTCCTGCCTAGTGACAATTGCACCCGAATTCTTTGTAAAGAATTTCGGTGTTTTTCTAACATTTGGGTATTTGAACATGTAAGTTATTATTATATGTCACGCCATGGATCCCAAGAAAGCCATTCATTCAGGGTTGAGCCTGAACCTGAAGTGCCTATAGTTCAGAAAATTGTTACTCTGGTTCGGAAATTGGCCTTGGAGTTGGATGGTGCTGATATGTAGGAGTTGGTTAAGGAACACAGAGAAGAACTGACCACCAAAGAACTCCTAGCCCGTCAAAAGGAGCAGCAACAAGAGGCAGCTGAGGAATGTCTTCAGGGGAGGAGGAGGCAGTAGAGAATGTCCCTTCCTCAACAATTAGGAAGTGGTGTAGGCTGTGAGAAGAAATGCAAACTTTTGTTGAAATGACTCGCCCAGAGCAAGCTGTAGTAGGCCGTTTCATTATTCTTTTTAATGACAATGTGATGCCTCACTACAGACAAGTGTTACAACGAAGGGAAAAACAATCCTCTATGGATCGTTTTAGTGAGAAAATCGAGCAGTGAGCCACAAGCAGGTCCTAATGGTATGCCTGCAAAATGTAGGAGAGAGTACCCCAGAAAAGTCCTCACTGCCTGATGTTATAATGGAAGGGGACTCCCCCTTCAAAACTCTAACACCTCTCCTTCTCCTCCCCCCACCCCCTCTCAACATGAGTCATCAGTAAAGTAATAACTTGTACACACTTTAGTACTGAAGATTTGGGTGAAGTAGGTATAAAATTTACTTTGCAGTTAATTTTTTTGGGGAGTCTGGAAAGAATTAATTCAATTTTCATTATTTCTTATGGGAAAATTCGCTTCAGTTTACGAGTTTTCGGCTTACGAACTGTCTCTGGGAATGGATTAAATTCGTAAGCCGAGGTACCACTATCATATTATGTATTAAAAATAATTAATTAATTTTTTAAATACTGTTCTAAAACTTAGGTTTTACAGGTATATTGCAGTTTACCAACATTTCTGTATTTTGTATAATAATTCCTGTTAAATGGAGTTTATACTCACTTATTTATGCCGTCTTCTCTTTGAGACATTGCAAGGACAATAGAATTACTGAAATCAAATTGGCTGATATCCTCTCGAAGGCTGCTGTCGTGGAGATAATGCGAAGCAATATACTGCACAGTTCCACCATCCGCACCACTGTCTTCTTGGACACTTTTTCTCATTTCACGTCGCACAGCAACAAATCTCTTTTTGCTGCCTGGATTAAAATGAACTTCAACATCAAACTCGAGGGTCTTGTTACAATCTATGAGGCTCTCCCATATAGCCTCTCCTTTAGTAGAGATTGCATTAAACAAGAAGTTATTGTAAAATTTTATATCATTTTGTACACAAGCAAGAGCAGCAATGATAGAGTTGTAAGCAGCACATGCACAAAGCCTTCGGAACTCTGCGTGAGTCTGATCATGTCGTAGTTCTCCTTTGGCAACCTTGGAAGCACAACGAAACAATTCTTTTGTCAACTCCTTTCCTGACAGATCACTGGGTCGATATGCAGAATTAATTTCCGAATCTGGGGCAAATACCCTTTCACGAGGAAGCCTAGAATACATTATCTGAAAAGGGTAAAATAAATTACAATAAGCTACCTCATAAGCAATAATTCTTGGATTGAAGATACTGCAAAGTATTGTAAATGTACCTACAAATTATCAACGTCCAGTTTGACAGGGGGGTCAACATTTCTAACCCCTTATTGAAAAGGGGAAAAAAAAACGTTGAAAGTAATGAAACGCTATTTTCTGGGCGAGACCCGGAGGCTCACCGCAGCTTATCCAGGCTGATATGCTAATGTCAGACTTCGGCATCAGTCATGTGTACTCACCTAATTGTACTCACCTAATTGTGCTTGCGGGGGTTGAGCTTTGGCTCTTTGGTCCCGCCTCTCAACTGTCAATCAACTGGTGTACAGATTCCTGAGCCTACTGGGCTCTATCATACCTACATTTGAAACTGTGTATGGAGTCAGCCTCCACCACATCACTTCCTAGTGCATTCCATTTATTAACTACTCTGACACTGAAAAAATTCTTTCTAACGTCTCTGTGGCTCATCTGGGCACTAAGTTTCCACCTGTGTCCCCTTGTTCGTGTCCCACCCGTGCTGAAGAGTTTGTCTTTGTCCACCCTGTCAATTCCCCTGAGAATTTTGTAGGTGGTTATCATGTCTCCCCTTACTCTTCTGTTTTCCAGGGATGTGAGGTTCAGCTCCTTTAGCCTTTCCTCGTAGCTCAATCCTCTCAGTTCCGGGACGAGCCTGGTGGCATACCGCTGAATCTTCTCTAACTTTGTCTTGTGTTTAACTAGGTATGGACTCCAGGCTGGAGCTGCATACTCCAGGATTGGTCTTACATAAGTGGTATACAGGGTTCTGAAAGATTCCTTACACAAGTTTCTGAAGGCAGTTCTTATGTTGGCCAGTCTAGCATATGCCGCTGATGATATTCTTTTGATGTGGGCCTCTGGGGACAGGTTCGGTGTGATATCAACCCCCAGATCCTTCTCTCTATTTGATTCTTGCAGGATTTCCCCTCCCAGATGATACCAGATGTATGGAGTTCTGTGGGCCTACCGGGGACCACAAGCCAGAACCTGGCCTCCCTCAGAGAGGCATGGGGAGCAATGGCCTATAGAAACCCCAGTGTGGTTGGAAGCATTCTATGTCTGCCATCAACCGGGTCAAGCACCCATAAAGATAAGTGTCCCAAAACAAACCCCTATTCTGGTGAAAATTGATACCAAAAGCCGAATATGTTGATAGAACTCCCAAAAAAGAAACGAGCAAACAAGCATAACTTCACACATCACCACGCTGCTGTCAGCGTAGCTTCCGCCACCCGGGAGGGGGAAGGGGGAGCACCAGACCCCCGCCCGGCTATCCACCCTTCAGTTCTGAGGCTGGATGTCAAAACACGCGAAAAAAATGCTGACTGGGGGGAAGGGAGGGATGCCAGGGAGCCTCCAGGCCTCACCCAGAAAATGCTGTTTCACTGCATTCAACGCTGGTTTTCTGGGGGGGGGAGGAGCACCTTCGACTCCCCGGAGCTAACTACCCACAGAGGAAAAGTAAAGGGACACACCCGTGAGGCGGTCGCTACTCACTCCTCAACTCTAAGCCGAGACAACTGGCAGCAACCGCCGACCCAAAGTGACACAGGCCCGCATAGGCCCAGGAACGTTCACGAGATAACGAGCAGCCAGGACCCTGTACGACCACCAAAATCCCCGCACCCGAATGTCAGCCAGGGACATGTTGCCAAAAATGGCAGCAGGGGCAGCCAACTTGCAAACTTCATGGGCACGGGGATAGACCGCAGGCTGGCTAGCCTGAACGACCTAGGAGACCCACACCTGCGAACAGGGAAGAAGAGAAACCGGATGAACCCAAGGCGCAACCCTGGACACAGAGAATGTGGCACGCAAATAATGGCGGAGGGTCGCAACAGGACACAAAACATGATGCACTCCTGGCCCGACCAGCCAGGCATCAACAACCGAAGGACCCCTCCGGAAAGCAACAGTCTCGTTCTTTGCCAGAAAAAGAGGAGACGGCTGCAGACAAACAAACCTATCGCCACGACCGAAGGAGCATAAAATCCCTGCGCCGGACGAGAGCATGAAGCTCACCGACCCAACCCCTAGAGGCCAATGTCAACAGAAAAAGAGCCTCCGAGAAACAAACCTGAACCGAAGGGGCCACAACAAACCGTGGAGAAGAAAGAAGAGAGAGCATTCTGTCCTTCGGTCGTGGCGATAGGTCTGTTTGTCTGCAGCTGTCTCCTCCTTTTCTAGCAAAGAATGAAACTGCTGCTTTGCGGAGAGGTCCTTCGGTTGTTGATGCTTAGAGGTTGGGCCCCTAGCTGGACTCAAGCATGGGTTGGACATGCATAGGAGTGGGACTGGATGGGTATAAATAGGAGCTGCCTCGTATGGCCCAATAGGACTAATGCAGTCACCAGTGTTCTGATGTTCTTATATTCGTATCCAAAAACCACGAACCAACGCCTGGCGGAAAGAGATGCCAGACCGTATAAACTCACATGCAGAACGTAGGCACGAACGTGTCATGACACAACACAGTCAAGAAGATTCCGGGAGCACCGCCAGAGGACGAAGGTTTGTTTGGATGTTTGCTGATGTTCGAAGGCTTGGAATGTTTGCTTGTTTGCTTGTTTCTTTGGGACTGTAGGGAGATCTACCTCTCTGTTCGGTTTTTTGTTTTAGTTTCTTACCATGTTGGGTTTGTTTTGATATGCCTAACTTTCTGGGTGCCTAACCTCGGTCGATGGGAGATAAGGAAAACCCCTAATCACAAGGGGGTTTTCCAGGGCCATTGCTCCCTGAAACCTCTCTGAAGGGGCCAGGTTCTGGAGCTGGTCCCTGGTAAGTCTGAACTCCATAGTTAATGTCCCGGTCTAATATGACATACATTAGCCCGATAAGCTCCAGGGAGCTGTAGGGGCTCCCCACAGAGAAGCACTCATTGAGGTGCTCAAACTCGCCCCCCCCCCCCCACACAAGAAAACCTGGACCATCGCCAACGCCTCACTCCACTCAAGCGTGCGGGAACAACAGAAAGTATGCCATGCCTCCAAACCAAAAACAGGACAGTCCACCAGCCAGGACAACTCCAGAACCTCCTAATGGAGTGGCAGTGAGGGAGAGAGGGTGAGTGGCAGTGAGGGAGAGAGGGTGAGTGGCAGTGAGGGAGGGAGGGCGAATGGCAGTGAGGGAGGGAGGGAGGGAGGGAGGGCAAGTGGCAGTGAGGGAGGGAGGGCGAGTGGCAGTGAGGGAGGGAGGGCGAGTGGCAGTGAGGGAGGGAGGGAGGGCGAGTGGCAGTGAGGGAGGGAGGGAGGGCGAGTGGCAGTGAGGGAGGGACGGAGGGAGGGAGGGCGAGTGGCAGTGAGGGAGGGAGGGCGAGTGGCAGTGAGGGAGGGAGGGAGGGAGGGGTAAGTGGCAGTGAGGGAGGGAGGGAGAGTGGCAGTGAGGGAGGGAGGGAGGGAGAGTGGCAGTGAGGGAGGGAGGGAGAGTGGCAGTGAGGGAGAGAGGGAGAGTGGCAGTGAGGGAGGGCGAGTGGCAGTGAGAAGAGGGAGGGTGAGTGGTAGTGAGGGAGGGAGGGTGAGTGGTAGTGAGGGAGGGAGGGTGAGTAGTAGTGAGGGAGGGAGGGTGAGTGGTAGTGAGGGAGGGAGGGTAGTGGCATTGAGGGAGGGGAAGTAGCAGAGAGGGAGGGAGGGCAATTGGCAGGGAGGGAGGGAGGGCAAGTGGCAGTGAAGGAGGGAGGGAGGGAGGGCAAGTGGCAGGGAGGGAGGGAGGGCAAGTGGCAGGGAGGGAGGGAGGGCAAGTGGCAGGGAGGGAGGAAGGGCAAGTGGCAGTGAAGGAGGGAGGGAGGGCGAGTGGCAGTGAGGGAGGAAGGGAGGGCGAGTAGCAGTGAGGGAGGGAGGGTGAGTGGCAGTGAGGGAGGGGGAGTGGCAGTGAGGGAGGGAGGGGGAGTGGCAGTGAGGGAGGGAGGGCGAGTGGCAGTGAGGGAGGGAGGGCGAGTGGCAGTGAGGGAGGGAGGGAGGGAGGGCGAGTGGCAGTGAGGGAGGGAGGGAGGGCGAGTGGCAGTGAGGGAGGGAGGGAGGGAGGGAGGGAGGGAGGGAGGGTGAGTGGCAGTGAGGGAGGGAGGGAGGGAGGGAGGGAGGGCGAGTGGCAGGGAGGGAGGGAGGGAGGGAGGGCGAGTGGCAGTGAGGGAGGGAGGGCGAGTGGCAGTGAGGGAGGGAGGGAGGGCGAGTGGCAGTTTGGGAGGGAGGGAGGGAGGGAGGGCGAGTGGCAGTGAGGGAGGGTGAGTGGCAGTGAGGGAGGGAGGGAGGGCGAGTGGCAGTGAGGGAGGGAGGGAGGAAGGGCGAGTTGCAGTGAGGGAGGGAGGGCGAGTGGCAGTGAGGGAGGGAGGGAGGGAGGGCGAGTGGCAGTGAGGGAGGGAGGGAGGGCAATTGGCAGGGAGGGAGGGAGGGCAATTGGCAGGGAGGGGGAGGGAGGGCAATTGGCAGGGAGGGAGGGAGGGAGGGCGACTGGCAGTGAGGGAGGGAGGGAGGGAGGGAGGGAGGGAGGGAGGGAGAGAAGCGAGTGGCATTGAGGGAGGAAGGGAGGGCGAATAGCAGTGAGGGAGGGAGGGTGAGTGGCAGTGAGGGAGGGAGGTGAGTGGCAGTGAGGGAGGGAGGGAGGGAGGGCGAGTGGCAGTGAGGGAGGGAGGGAGGGCGACTGGCAGTGAGGAAGGGAGGGAGGGCGACTGGCAGTGAGGGACGGAGGGAGGGAGGGAGAGAGGGCGAGTGGCAGTGAGGGAGGAAGGGAGGGCAAATAGCAGTAAGGGAGGGAGGGTGAGTGGCAGTGAGGGAGGGAGGGTGAGTGGCAGTGAGGGAGGGAGGGCGAGTGGCAGTGAGGGAGGGAGGGAGGGCGAGTGGCAGTGAGGGAGGGAGGGAGGGAGGGCGAGTGGCAGTGAGGGAGGGAGGGAGGGAGGGAGGGCGATTGGCAGGGAGGGAGGGAGGGAGATAGGGGTAAGTGGCAGTGAGGGAGGGTGAGAG